GCACTGGACCGCAAAATCAGTTTAAACCGCAAGGTCGGCTGTTCAAACTCACCAGCTGCTCCTTAGAAACCCTATATAGGGTCACTATGGGTCCAAATTGACTCGACACCACTAAACAACAACAATTTACAATTCGTGGGTTATGACTTGTTGTTAAGTGCTGTCGAGTAGGTTCCAACCCATAGTGACTCTGTACAGGATTTCCAAGGCTGTAAATCTTTATGGGAGCAGAAAGCCTCATCTTTCTCCCGTGGAGCAGCTGATAGTTTCGAACTGTTGACCTTAAGGTTCGCAGCCCAACTTGTAACCACTACACTACCAGAGCTCCTTGGGTTATGAGTAGGACTGCTGAAAACAAGGTTTTAACAAGTTCAAATCTACTAGTCGCTCTGCAGGAGAAAGATGAGGCTTTCTGCTGTTATAAAGATTGACATTACCACTCATCTGGCAGTTTATTATACTGTAATGGCTTGCACATTGTTGTGATTCTGAAAGCTATGCCATGGGTATTTTAAATACCAGCAGGGTCACCCACCGTGGGCAGGTTTCAGCTGAACTTCCAGACGAAGACAGAGTAGGAAGAAGGAGAGACGAACTACTTGTGAAAATATAGTCACCGAAAATCTTAGGAATAGCAGTGGAACACTGTCAGCACCAGAATATTGAATACTGAAACATGATGAATAGTACTAGAATATTGTCAGATATAGTGCTGGAAGATGAACCCCTCAGGTTCGAAGTAACTCAGAATGTGACTGGGGAAGAGCTGCCTCCTCAAAGTAGAATGAATTATGATGATGCAAATGGAGTAAAGCCCTAGCAACCTATATTTGCTGATGTGGTACAACTCAGAATGAATAGAAACAGCTGTAAACATTCATTAATAACCAGAACATGGAATATGCCAAGTATGAATCTAGGAAAATTGGAAAGTGTCAAAAATGAAATGGAATGCATAAAAATCAATATCCTAGGCATTAGTGAGCTGAATGGACTGGTATTGGCTATTTTGAATCTAACAATCACATGGTTCACTATGCCAGAATGACAAATTGAAGAGGAATGGCATCACATTCATCATCTAAAAGAACAAATCATTATCTGTCTTGAAGTACAATGCTGTCTGTGATAGGATAATATCCATACAATTACAAGGACCCAGTTAATACCATTATTATTCAAATTTATGCACCAACCACTAAAGCCAGTGATGGTGACATTCTACAAGCTTCTTCAGTCTGAAATTGATCAAATGTGCAATAAAGATGTATTGATAATTGCTGGTGATTGGAATGCAAAAGTTGGAAGCAAAGAGGAATGGTCAGTCATTGGAAAATATGGCTTTGGTGATGAAGATCAAATGTCACAACTTTCACTATGGGTTGCATCTCAATGTAAAGAAAACAAAAATCCTCACCACTGGACTAGGAGATTGAAGTTGTTAAAGACTTCATTTTGTTCAGATCAACCATCAACACTACAGAAGCAGCAGTCAAGAAATTAAATCATGTATTGCATTAGGAAAATCTGCTACACAAGACCTGTTTAAAGTGTTGAAGAACAAAGACGTCAGTTTGAGGACTAAGGTGCACCTGACCTAAGCCATGGTATTTCCAGGAGCCTCATATGTATGTGAAAGTTGGCCAGTGAATAAAGACCATAGAAGAATTGATGCATTTGAATTACAATGTTGGAGGAGAATATTGAAAGTACCATGAACTGTCAAAAGAACAAATCAGTCAGTGTTGGATGAAGTACAGCCAGAGTGTTCCTTGGAAGCCAGGATAGCCAGACTTTGTCTGTCATACTTTGTTATTATCAGAAGGCACCAGTCCTGGGAGAAGAATATCATGTTTGGTAAAGTGGAGAATCGAAGAAAAAGAGGAAGGCCACCTATGGGATGGAATGGCACAGTGGTAGCAGCAGTGGATTTGGATGTAACAGTTGTGATGTTGGTGTAGGACCAGGCAGTGTTTTGTTCTGTTGTGCATGGGTTCACTGTGATTCGATACTGAGGCAATGACACCTAACAACAGCAAAGATTTACAGCCTTGGAAATCCTATACAAGGTCGGAATTGACACTATGATACTTCACCACTATTGTGACTTTCATGAAAATAAATGTGGGGAAATTGCAAATTTAAGGAAATAGGAAAGTCTTGTAAGTTACATTTTGTTTTGTTTTTTAGTATACTTTACTTCTGAGAAATATACTTTGCATGAAAAATAAAATCATTAATTGTTTTGATCAAACTTCCACTTATATTGCCGCTTACATCAAAACTTCTACTCTCCCATTGTCTAATTCTATAAAGTCATCTCACAGCCAACAGAAGATGTGTGAAGATTTATCCTGCCCTGCGTACAAGAGTGGAGTCCTGGTTTGGTGCTGGAGGATAAGCACTACACTGCTAATAGCAAGATCGTCAGTTCAAACCCACCAACCACTCCTTGGAAACCCCATACAGGGTGACTATGAGTTGAAACTAATTCGACAGTCCTTAACAACAACACTGCATTCACGGGAGAAAGACCTGGCAATCTCTTCCGTAAAAGTTACAGCCAAGAAAAGCATGGGACTTCCACTCTGTCACATTGGTGCAGACGAAAGAAAGTAATTTATAGCATGGATTTCTTTTAAGTTTTTATTTTATTTGATATGTTGTTTTTTTACTATTACAAGTCATATTTTCATTATTATTTCTATTTTTTATTGGTCTAAATATAGAAAACCAATTTAAAATGTGTATCAATTAAATTATGACCATCATAATAATTTTGATATGTAAATGGACTTAAAATTGGACACAATTTTAAAAAGCTTTCATAGCTAATATTTTTCATCTAAAGTACTGGAAAATATGTTTCTAACTACCAGATGCTAACTAAGCTGTTGGTTTAATTTGAGTGGCTAATTTAAATTTTTAATCATAAACTCATAAACTCTCAGATTGTATGTATGTATCCATTCTAACTTATCTGCATATATTCTATCTGATAGTATCTTATTTGCTTATTAAGTCCTATATTTTAGAGGTGTTTAGTTATTAAATTTAGTTTGTCTATAGCTTCCTGGTATGTATGGCACTGCAGGGTAAACACTTGACTGCTAACCACAAGGTCTGCAGTTCAAACCCCCCAGCTGCTCCTTGGAAACCCTAGACAGGGTCGCTATGACTTGAAACTGCATTTAACAACAACAAGAACAAACAGCTCTAACTCATGGTTATTTTATGAAACAATACACTTATTTTTTATTTACTCAATATCCTCTGTTTATGAAATACATTTGGCTTGTTTATAGCACATGAAAGTATTTCATTATTAGTTATGTTCTAAGTTAAGGTAGTGATGCCTATAATTTATTTTTTTATTTTTTATTTTAGACCCCAGTAGTTGTGAAAAATGAAATTATGTTTGACTTGTTTTCTGCAAATGAACATTTATTCGGCAGTGAGGTATGTAGAGAAATGATGAAATAGCCCTCATTTTAGAATGGCTTTCATACTCTCTTCAATAATTCTCAGATACCTAGTTCACTTCTCCTTCAGCCACCTGAAAGTTATTTGTGTAATTAAGTGTTCTAGTAGCAGACACTTAATTGGGGAGGGGGGAGAGGGAGTTTAAGACTGCAAACTTTGGGAATATATTATTAGTACTGCTGCTGCTTATCACTCTGTCCTCAGCCAATGATCCCAAGGTCAATAATCCATGTGACTAGCAACATGTGCCTGCCCCTATTGGACCATACTTAGTCCCACAGGAAGGGATAATGATGTGTTTGACTTGCTGTTGTATGGTGCCTTTGAGGTAATTTTCATTCAATTCGTAGGCACCACATGTGACAGTAAAATTGCCCCATAGGATTTTCTAGGCTGTAATAATTATGTGAGCAGATTGCTAGATCTTTCTCCCTCAGAACTAATGGGAGAGTTCAAATTGCCAGACTTTTGTTCAACAACTGAACACGACCATTTTACCATGTGTAGTAGAAGTTACTGGGATGTGATTGGATTAAAACGCTCCTAAACCCAGAAATCATATCAGCATGCAGTTCAGCTTCTTATGTTTGACGTGGTGGTAGAGATTCTTTATTTCTCTAACCCTGTACCTTTCCTGTGGGAGGATCATTCCCCATATCCCACTCTAGGTTTGTATCCATCACAAGTAAGCCAAGCCATTTCTGTTTATAACTTACATTAGAAACAGGGCTTTTAATTATTTGCTTCTAAGAATCAAGCCATTCTGAAACACTTAATTGTGCACATGGAGAATCTGTATACAGACCAAAAGGCAGCCGTTAGAAGAACAAGGGAATACTGAGTAGCTTAAAATCAGGAAAGGTATGTGCCAGGGTTGTATCCTTTCACCATACTTGTTTAATCCATATGTTAAGAAAATAATCCCCAAACCTGCATTATATGAAGAGGAACTTGGCGTAAGGATTGGAATAACACTCATTAGCGCCGACCTGCAATATGCAGATGATACAACCTTTCTTGCTGGAAAAGAAGGGAACTTAAAATTCCAATGATGATCAAGGACTGCAGCCTTCAGTATGGATTGCATGTCAATACAAAGAAAGCAAAATTTCTCACAACTGGGCCAATAAATAACATAATGATAAATGGAGAAAAGATAGAAGTTGTCAAAGATTTCATTTTGTTTGGGCCTACAGTCAACACTCAAGGAAGCAGCAGTCAGGAAATCAAAGGACATATTGCATTGGGCAAAGCTGCTACAAGATAACTCCTTAAAGTGGTAAAGAACAAAGAGATTAGTTTGAGGACTAAGCTATAATTGACTCAAGCGATAATATATTCATTTGCTTTATATGCATGTGAAAATTGGACAATGATAAAAGAAGACCATAGAAGAGTCCATGTATTTGGTTTATGATGCTGGAGAAGAATATTAAAAGCACCATCCACGGCCAAAGGAATGAAAAAATCTGTCTTGGAAAAAGTGCAGACAAAAGGTTTCTTAGAAGCCAGGATGGCAAGACCTTGTCTCTCATATTTTGGACATATTATCAGGAGATACCAGTCCCTGGAATAGGACATCATGCTTGGAAAAGTAGAGGGTCAGAGAAAAAGAGGAAGACCCTCAACAAGATGGATTGGCACAGTGGTAGAAGCAATGAAGTCAAGGGTAACGGTGGTTGTGAGGATGGTGCGGGACTGGGCAATGCTTCATTCTCTTGTGCATAGGTCTGCATGAACCAGTTCTGACTCAATAGCACCTAAGAGCCGCAACAATAACAAGACTCAGACCCATCACTCATCTGTCTGTTTGTTGTACTGTGGTGGCTTTGTGTTGCTATGGTGTTAGAAGCGATGCCATCAGATTCATTGGAGTTTCCAGACTAAGACAGACTAGGAAGAAGGAGAGGTAGACCTGCTCTGAAGGGTAAGCCACTGAAAAACCTCAAAAGATGAGCCTGTCAGATTGTAAGAAACGCAAAATATGACTGAAGTAGAGCTGCATTCTCAAAGAAGTGTTGACCTTCATGTGGGTGGAGCACAACTCAAAATGAGGAAAAATAGTTGCAAACATCTATTAACAATTAGAACTGGAAATTTATGAAGTATAAATCTAGGAAAATTGGAATTCTTCAAAATTGAAATTCATAAACATTGATATCCTAGACATTTATTAGTGAGCTGAAATGAACTTGTATTGGGCACTGTAAGTCCAACAATCGTATGGCTTATTATGTCTGGAATGGCTAATTGAAGAGGAATGGAATCACATTCATTGTCAGAAGGAATATTTCAAGATCTATCTTGACATACAGTGTTGTTTTGGGTACAACAATATCCATACTCCCACAAAGAAGACCAGTTAATACTTTTTTGTTATTCAGATTTATGCACCAATCACTGAAGTCAATGATGAAGAAAATGAAGGATTCTTTCAACTTCTTCCTTCTGAAATTTACCAAACATGCATTCAAGATGTATTCATTAAAACTGGGGATTGGAATGTGAAAGTTGGAAACAAAGAGGAAGCATCGGTAGTTGGTAAATATGGCCATGTTAGCAGAAACATTGCAGGAGGTTGACTTCTTGATTGCAAATACCTTTTTTCAATGGCATAAATGGTGACTGTACACTTGGATCTCAGTGGTGGAGCACACAGGAATTATACTACATCTGTGGAAAGAGATGAAGGAGAAACTCAATATCATCAGCCAAAACAAAGCCAGGAGTCAACTTTGGAACAGACCATCAATTCCTCATATGAAAGTTCAGGTTAAAGCTGAAGAAAATTGAAACAAGTCCATAAGAGCCAAAATATGACCTTGAATATATTCCACCTGAATGTCGAGATCATCTCAAGACCAGAGGATGATATTTAGAACAACATACTTGAAGAAAACAAAAGATCATATAAGCCAAAGAATATCTCAAAAGAAACTCTGAAACTTTCTCTTGAACTGAGGTAAAGTAACTGGAAGAAATGCTGGGGTAAAAGAGCTGAATAGAAAATTTCCAAAGGCAAGGAGCATGAGAAGAAAAAGTAAAGTGAAACATATGTTTCCCTGGTTTTGCATCTTTAGAAAACCCAGCCTAGGACAATATATGTTGTTGTTAAGTGCCATCAAGTTGGTTCTGACTCATAGCAACTTTGTGTAGGATTTCCAAGAAGCTACAGGTGAGCTTGAACTGCTGACCTTGTAGTTCAAACCAACCTTGCAGTCCAATGCATTAACCCGCAATTCCACACCACGACTCCATGAAAATATATAGAGACAACTTTATTATCAAGGAAATGATTCTGAATTGCAGAGTCCCAGGTTCCCAGCAGAAAAGAGAGTCCCTCCTGCATGTCCTTTGTATTGGGAATAGGCCATATCCCCACGGAAGCATCCTTTCAATTGATTGGCTGCTCATGGCCACTCATCATAAAACTAACTATGCTTGTATTAGGTTTCATCACAATGGGAATAAGTGCATCTCAACTGCTGAACCTCTGGAAATCCTGTGATAC